ATGCACTCGGAGCTCAGCGCGGTCAAAGGAGCAGGCCGAGGGTTGGGCAAGAGAGGGGCGGTGAGTTCTGACTGGGAGGGACGCGCCTTGCCGCGAGTTCCTATTGGCAGACCTTTTGGAGGAGGTGAACCCTGATTGGCCAGTTGGCTTCGGGCGGCTGCGGGAGGCTGGGGGCAAAAAAAAACCCCGCCGTCGCCCGGCCCTAGGCGCTAGCCCTCAAGTCCAAACCTGCGCGTCCCACCTGCAGACGCTATCGCGCGACATGTACCGCCGCCTTTGCCCTTATCGCGCGGGACTGCTCCCGGGTGGCCTCTTGTTCCTCCTGCTACTGCTGATGCTGCTCGCAGACCCGGCGCTCCCGACTGGACGTCACCCCCCGGTGGTGCTGGGTGAGCACGCCTCTGGTGGTGGTCTCTTTCGCTGGTCGGTCCCACAGCTGGGTGCAGGCTGGGCTGCCTTCCCGGTTTGCATCTGTTCTAAGCATGGGATGAGGGAGCGTCTTACTGTCTTGTCACCTGGCTGGGCTGTCCACCTTTCTGCATGCTGGGCGGGGATGTGGTTAGCCTCCCACCACCTGCCTCCGTAGAAAATGAGGTGAGTGGAATGATCATTTCCAGATTGTCCAATGCTCCACCCGTCCACTTCAGTCCCAGGTCTTACTTTGCCTTATCTGCATCTTTTAGCAGAAAAGACAGCCCCTTCAGCCCCTCTCTTGAAGGCCGGTGGACTGGGTAGAGTGATCTTGGAGTTGGCCTGTGTGTTGACACTGGCCTGGGAGGCTGTCATCCTCCACTGTTTCAGAAGGCATTACTGAAAGAAAACTCTTTGGGGAAAGAATTGCTCTTTTAGCTGGCTGCTAACCCTCCCTCTGAACTTATCAAATGGGTGGCATTGAGCATTGTTGGAGATCTAAGGGAAACAGGATGACTGAAGGGTTAAGGGCTTGGGTCATGGCCAGGCCATGAACAAGTGTTAGGAAATGAGCCCAGGGCAGTTATTGGACCTCAGGTGACCATGAGCTGGTGAAAGGGACCACCACCAGACGCGTGCTCACCCAGCACCATCAGGGGGTGACGTCCAGTCGGGAGCACCGGGTCTGCGAGCAGCATCAGCATGTAGTCACCCCATCAAACCTAGGTGGACTAGGCTATATAGAAGCTGCCCATGGCCTCATCGACACTGTCCAGGCGAATTTGCACAGTGTTTCCTTGTGATGGGCAGAGAGGAGACTGGAAGTCCTTGGGCCATCACTCTCATCCAGAGCTGGCGGATCAGGGACTGGCCAAGTCTCCTGAGGGCAGAGGCATACTGAGGCAAAAATTAGACTTACTCTGCTACAGCGTGACCCTTGTGCTGAATATCTGATCATAGAAGGATGGGGATAGCAGGCAGGGTGGTGGTTCAGGGGGGAGGTAAAGGGAGCACCGGGAATTCCAAGCCAGGAAATGCTCTAGGGAACGCTGGAGTTCAGACTGGAAGCCTAGTACGAGGAGGAGAGGACTGTACAGGACTTGTGACTGGTCAAGTCATCTGGACTTTATCTTGTGGGGCCTCAAGGAGCCCGCAGAGTTCCGACGTGAAGGTGTGGATTGAGACATTCATGGTCTGTGGCTGACACAGCCTTTTTGCCTGGATTGGTGCTAGCTGTACTTATTAATTCATTCCATCTTTGGTTACCATTCCGTCTTTGGTTATTCAGAAGAGTCTCAGGGTCCACAGAACCGCTGGAATCCTATCCTGCCCAGCTCTTAAGGAGAGAAGCTGCTGACAGTAACCTTGGAAGACCCCACAGGGGCTGTGGATACACTGTTGCTGAGTAGAGAGCAGGGATCAGAATCGCCTAGGGGTGCATCCTTACTTTGTGGTGGAGGAAACAAAGGCCAGAGGAGAGAATGCAGTTAGCACTGATCCAGGCAAAAGAGGCTGTGTGCCAGCCACAGGTCATGAGTTTCATAAGCCGTACCCTTCATACTCAGCACTCTGAAGGTTCTCCGAGGTCCCCAGGATAAAGTCCAGATCACCTAGCCAGACACGAGCCCAATACAGTCCATTCGTCTTCCTGCTTGGTTCCGTCCAGAATACCTTTGAGTGAGGGGAAAGAACTGTGTGGCAAGGCCATTTCCACCTCTTCCAGCCTCAGTCACCTTATCTGTTTACTTATTTAATTCCATTTATTATTAGTAGTATTATTTATTTATTTATTTTAATTTGACTAGAGAGAGAGAGAGAGAGAAAGAAAGGGAAAACAAGAAAGCAAGCTGCCGGGACCAGCAGTTGGCGTAATGGCTATGTCGCTGGACTCCCATGTAGTCGACTGCAGTTCAGGTCTCGGACCCGATGGCTTAAACTCACGCCGGGCGCGAGTGCGTGTGTGCCCAAGATCCCGAGAGGAGAATGGAGGAGAAGGGATTGTAGCGTGGCCATCCCCTCTGGGAAGTGATTTCTCACTTTCTGTCTCTCTGTTTCTGTCTTTCTGGCAAGTGCACGCACCCTATAGCAAAAACCTCTCCAAAAAAAAAATTAAGAAAAGAAAAGAAAGCAAGCTGCCAGGTCTGGAACTCAAACTGTGGTTGGCCATGTGGGAATTCAGCACTTTTAACCACCACACCACCTGCCAGCCCCTCCTTGTCTGTTAAGTGGGGATAATTGTTATTGAGCTGAACAGCATGTGGATTCCAGGCACAGAAGAACTCAGAAAGTAGCCACTGGTATTTTTTTTAAGAATTACTTATTTAATTTTATTTGTAATTATTGTTATTTTTATTATTTTAATTTGACCAGAGGGAGAGAGACAGATAAAGAGAGAGGGAAAGGGAGAAAGCAAGCCATTAGGTCCAGGACTTGAACTGTGGTTGGCCAGTGGGAGTCCAGCGCCTTAACCACCACACTCCCTGCCTGGCCCCGCCAGTGGTATTTTTAGAGGCCACATTTCCGGACCAGGGCAAGGAGTGTCTGGACAAAGTAGATCTGGTGACTTCCTCCTCCAGCCATTTTCTCTATGGTAGAGACTGTCACCAAGGTCCCTGCACTGCCCAGTCCTGTCCACAGACATGTCATCCTGATGCTATCATGCTAGGGCCTCCTCACCTTTGTCCCCACATCATGAAGGGAGGTGAAGACAGGTGCCACACCTGCCTGGTGCCCTAAAGACATGTGGTAGCAAGAAGCCCTGAAGATGGGGCACAGGGGAAAGGGGCATGCCCTGCCTAGGGCTGGGGTCAAAGTTGATGCCCACTGAATACCCAGGAAAGCCAAGCAGTGGTTGTTCCCTTGGCGATCATAGATCCCCAGTGAGTATGTGTTTGAGAGGCCTTAAGAACATGGCAATGTTGAAGCCATGGAGGGATCAGGTGGGGCCTGAAAGATCATTTGGAGTAAGTAGAGATTTCGAAGGCTGTGCAGTGATGCAAGGGGGTTGGTTTGGTGTCACAAGGGCCCCTGGGCTGTGTGGACATAAAAGGCTGGCTGCATAGAGAAGTCAGTCATCCCTGGAGCCTGGTCACACCCAACCCTGCTGGGCTGTGGCTGGAATGCCGTGTTGTTTCAGGGTAGCTGCTTCTGACATAGGCTTCCATCCATGCGAGGGCCTCCGGATGATCTGCCTTCTAAAGCATCACTGGACTCTGACTTTTGTCAAGGCCTGGGGACCTCCGAAGCTGGCAGGCACCGGTGTCAGCCTCTCCCATCTGGGTTTCTGTTCATCACCTCTCTCCTACAAGCCTATTCTGGAATACCTTCTCTAGATTCAGTTTTGGCCGTTTAAATAGCTCTGTCCTGTTTCCCACACCCTCTCAGTGTGCACAGGGGCCTGTCTGCGTTGTTTATAGCTTGGGGTAGCTGAGTGAAGGGCCTTTGAGTTAAGGCCTTGAGTGTATAGCTAATGGCGAAGATGTAGCCTTGGCCAAACTTAGGGTGTTCTGGAATACAGAGGGATCTTTAATCCCCTTCCAGTGAGAGCTTTCATCTGAGTCCTTTAACTGTAGATACAATGTGTAGAGGTGTACGTGTGGGGAGGGGGTGGGGGTTTGTGGGAAGTGATTCAGGTTAAGATCTCATTTAACAGATAAGGAAACTGTGGCCTAGTATGGGGAAGTGTTTTCACCCTGACATCCCTTTCAATTATTATTTTTTTAAGAGAGATTTTTGCTATAAAGCATGTGTGCTTGCTGGAGAGACAGAGAGACAGAAAGTGAGAAATCACCCCCCAGGGGGGATGGCCATGCCACAATCCCTTCTCCTCCATTCTCCTCTCAGGATCTTGGGCATGCACGCACACGTGCCCAGTATGAGTTTTAAGCCATTGGGTCCAGGACTTGAACTGTGGTTGACTATGTGGGAGTCCAGCGACATAACCGTTATGCCCATCTGCTGCTCCTCCTTTCCAGTAATTCGATTGTTCCAGAGGAGGGGGAATTCTGGTGAAGATATGGAGGATTTACTTTGTAGTTGGGGAGAGTGTTAAGGGCCTCTTCCAAGCCCCTGCAGGGTATGTATCTTGCCCCACTGTGTGCCACATAGCAATAGCAGTGTTTCTGTGGAAAGAGGTGCCCTGGCCTCTGAGTCAAGGTCCTCTGGTACTCCTGGCTGGGCTCTGTGCTTTCATTTGAGGTGGAGAACTGCAGAGGTCTTCTGTGGTCTCCATGACCTGTGAGGCATCTGCTTTAAGATTCACAGGGGGGACCAGCAGTTAACGTAATGGCTATGTTGCTGGACTCCCACATAGTTGACCGCGGTTCGACTCCCGGACCCGGTGGCTTAAACTCACGCCAGGCGTGTGTGCATGCGTGCCCAAGATCCCGAGAGGAGAATGGAGGAGAAGGGATTGTGGCGTGGCCATCCCCCCTAGGGGGTGATTTCTTGCTTTCTGTCTCTCTGTCTCTCTCTGTCTGTCTGGCGAGCGCATGTGCCCTATAGCAAACAAACAAACAAACAGACCAGATTCATAGGGAACACCAGCTTGCCAGGCCCAGGGCTCATGCATGTCCTGTGTGCCCCTGCAGTACCTGGCGATTTGGGCAACCAGCTGGAGGCCAAGCTGGACAAGCCGTCGGTGGTGCACTATCTCTGCTCCAAGAGGACGGACAGCTACTTCACGCTCTGGCTGAACCTGGAACTGCTGCTGCCTGTCATCATTGACTGCTGGATTGACAATATCAGGTGGGAGCTACGCCCAGAGAGACCTCTCACGGCCCATTTCCTTTTTATTCCTACCTCAAGAAATCTCGAAGTCACTGACCTCTTTCCTTCCTCTCAACTGGCGCCACCTCTGCTCTCTTCCCTGCAGAACGTTCTTCCCCTTCCTTCCTCTCTCTAGTTGAGCCTTTGCCCTCTCACCCCACATGCAGTTAGTTTCTTTTCCTTTTTTTTTTTTTTTTTT